GAAAAAATAAAAAAGATTTCCAAAAGCTAACTCCAAAGAGATGAGAGGGGGCATTTTCCTCAAATCACCATCTCACTGTTCTTAGTGTTTATTGGGGTCTTTACTATAAAGGAACAGTAAGGGAGGGAATATAATGGAACAATAGACAAGTTCAGACTTCTATCCTTTCCAGGACCCCCCATGCCTAGGGGAATGAAATGGGGTTTGACATCCAGATGCCAAGATCTGCATATTCCATCCATTCATCAGGGCTGATGTTTATGCTCAAGGCAGGAGAAATTTTAGGGGGAAAATTCAACTTAAGTTGCCTTTTGTGGTCCCAATTACAATCTCATTGAATGCTGGCAATGAGAACTGACAACTGAGATAGAATGCTAGAATGTGAAATTATTATAGACAGCTATGTTAGTTAGAAGTTTTAGAGGAAGTCAGATAGGGGTGGGCCCTCAGGAGGGAGTCAAGACACAAGGTGAAAACATACTACAACTGTGATTGGAGATGAATCAGTTGGAGGCCAGACCTCAAGATAATAACAAAAGGACCAGGCCTACATACTTTCCCAAGGGATAAGTGATAACACCTGGTCTAATAAACTCTAGATAGGCATCAGTCACCTCAGTGGGCAACCAAGACCCCGAGATCCACAACCTACCCGAGTTCTTTATTCTTTCCACACACACTTGTTTTGTAATTTGTTCCCCTATTGCCTCATTATTACCTAAGCAACTATACTTGTAACCATATTGGCTAATTATAGCTTCAACTCATGTTGTACCCACATGGTTTGTGCTCTATAAAACTTCGCTGTAAAGTGGGATCCTTGGCTACCCAATCAGGACCCCTCCTACCTCTCAGGAGCCATCCTCTCAATAAACCTTTCCTACTCTTAACCTCTGTTGTTCCTAGAATTCATTCTTCAATTTTAGAGAACATGAATTCAGTGTATCAAACACCTAACAGGTTGGGAATTATATTTCCCTTATATCCTATTTGGAGGTCCTGATTTCATACCTCTATCAAAATTACTCCCTCTTCCCCCTCTTCATGTGAACTGGGAATGAGATGCTGAAAATCTCAGCCATTAAGGAAATATGATCTACAAAAGCAGTGAGATTTTCCTTCACTCCTGCTATGGCACCTATTATCAGTACAATTTAAGGAAACAAGTGTTGATGAGGCTACAGAAAACCTGGAACATATACACATGGTACAGGATCTATGTGAAATACTTAGGCATTTCTGGGGGGAGAAATAAGTATAGATTTGTAAACAGCCCTGAAAAAAACTTTTTTCCCTTTGAGGCCTAGGGTATGAACAGCTTCCCTCACCACCACTGATCCTTAGAAAGTGACAAAATATACTGATAACCCAAGAAGGACAGAGGTCTGGATTCTTTTCCACAAAAAGGTAAAATATATGGCTGAAAGTGATAAAGCAAGTATGAAGAGCTGCATCCTCTCTCTGCCACCCTTCCTTACTATAAAACACCCTTGCCCATCTGTAAAAAGAGAGATGGTGATGTGAGGAAAATGGGTCACTAACACCTTGAAGCTAGCTTTAAATAAATCCTTTTTACCCAATTATATGCCCTCTTTGGTGTGCTCAGTGACAAGCACCCTATGAGCCTAAGTGGCTGGTAATGCTTTGGGTGGCCACAAAGCAACATTAGTCCCTGCTCCTGAGAGCCATGCATCCTAGCAATCACTTGGGAAAGAGACTGCTTGCTCATGGCTAGCTCAACCTGCTGTTGCGACTTCAGAGACATGCCAGCACCTACCTGCCAGGAACACCTTCAAAACCTGAAAATTCTCCCTTTTCCCATCTTCTGCATAAAGCTGCCTATAAATGCTTTTGTTGGTTAAAAAAAAAAAATGGTTTCGGGAGCTCAATCTAGCACAAGTTCCAGGTTCTGTCCTATTTGGAGCTGACGGGCTCTGCCTGGTTTCCCCCTGGAAGTGAGCTCCAAGGATCTACTCTCTGCAAGTTTGGACCTCTTTTATGTCATTCAGCAGTGCCAATTGAGTGAGGCAAGGACCTTCACTCTTTGGGGCCATTCAGACCTATTGCAGGTCATTTTGGTGTGAGAAGAGATTGGTGGGAGAAGAGATTCAGAAGTTAAAGAAAAAAAATTTCCAGACATTTGTTTTGGTTTCATTTGGTTTAGAATATTCCTTTGCTTTGGTCTGCTTTGATATGCTTTTATTTGCTTTTGCACTTGCACCATTGAGGTAAATCCCCAGCATATTTTTCTCTTCTTATAAGCATTTTTATTATAGGATGAGCAGGAGGGTTTCATTCAGTACCACCTAAAATCATATAAGCCATTTTAGCTTCAAGTCATTCTGAGGTTTCTTTCTGAGCCAATATAGAATTCAAGGTTCTTGAGCCATTTGTCCACAAAATATTAGAGTAAAAATTTTTAAAATATAAAAAGAACCCTGCTAGTGTGTTTAAAAAGCTCTGTTATAAACTGGTCAAAAATGAAAATGCTCGTGCTACTTTGCAGCTCCCTAATAAAGTTTTAGTTATCTATAATTTAAAAGGGGTGTTTTCTCCCTCATTGTTGAAAGTAAATGTACTCTTAGGGTGCTAATATTAGTGTTCCAATAAGCATATGATTATATTAAGGTAGTGGTAGTGGGAAGATAATCTTGATTCCATTGGGAAACAGGTTTTCATAATTTTATTGGGAAAATAGTTTTTCCTGTACTGCTGAAGTTTCTTTTTGGTAAACAGTATCTTTCTAAAAGAAAAAGCATGAAGGAGAAACTGAGGTATGTATAGAGTATGTCCTCAAATGACCAGCATTGTATTCATGAATACTGTGTATCTTGCAATGAATAGTGTGGAAGCTGTTCATTTTTCAACCTGAAGTAAAATACTTTCAAGAACTTTAAAAAAGGGGGTGGGGTGAATTTATTGTGATACACCATATATATGAAAGCACGCTGATTTCATAGGGATGTCTTTTAAAAGATTCATTAGGGCTCGGGATTTAGCTCAGTGGATCAGCTGCCTGCTGCACAAGTGCAAGGACCCAAGTTCAATCCCTGGTACCAAAAAAAAAAAAAGATTCATTAAAATAAGATCGGCTAAGATACAGATGTTTTGCCTTTGTATTTTTATTTGTGAGGAATATTGTTTCTAAATTGGATTATTTTTCATATTAGATAGGACACAAATTTCTGACCATCTATATGTAAATGCCAACACAATAAAATGTCTTAAATTTTCTAAGATCTATAATAAATTAAGGTAAAGAATAAAAGCTTCAAAAAATTCAAATTCAGTTTCATTAGGCAAACCATCTGCCTTGAGATATATATTTCCAACCTGGTTACAACCTCAATCCTACCTTCAGATATGCAAATAGAAGATTAAATATTGCATAAGACTAATGAAAAACATGACAATAATATAACTTTTTAAAAGCTGATAAATTATAATTTTAAGTCATTGCTTTATGTGTGTTGGCATAAATGCATATATTATGTTATGCCTAACTGTATACTTGTATGTATATATTGTTGAGATGGTACCAGATTCCCTTTTTTTTTAAGTGCTCAATAACTTAAAAAACATTAACCCAAATACCTATTTGTTCACATGACTTTTTTTTTTTTTGGTACCGGGGATTGAACTTGGGACCTTGCACTTGGGAGGCAGGTGGAGGAAGCACTGAGTTAAATACCCAGCACCTGTTCACATGACTTTTTAAAAATGCTTTTAAAAAGGTCAACCATGGTGATAAATTCCTGTAATCCCAGCGTGCAAAAGGATGACACAGTAAGACTGCCATGAGTTCAAGGCCACCCTGGGCTACATACTGAGACTCTGTCTCAAAAAAAACAGTTTTAAAAGATATAACACATGGGCTAGGGATTTAGCTCAGTGGCACCGTGCCTGCCTCAAAAGTGCAAGGTAATGAGTTCTATTCACAGTACCCCCTCCAAAAAAAGCTTTTAAAGGATATAGCAAAGGTTATATCAACTGCTAATGTAAATTTTCCCTGCATTAGCTAATCAAATTTATATTTGAGATGTTTTAACTTTAGAAAAAGTTTCAGTTTCACAAATGTTAAAAATACTAATGGCTGGGTGTGGGTCATACACCCATAATACTAACACTCATGAAGCAGGAGCTGTGAGTTTGAGGCCACCCTGGGATACATAATCAGTTCAAGGCCAGCCTGAGTTACAGTGTGAAACCCTATCTCAAAAAATAAATTAAAGATCATACAAAATGTAATTAAAATTTTTGAGTTTGTTAGGATCTAAGAAATCAGAGTCAGTTAAACATTGAGACAATATAAATATACCAAAATCTGGGCATTCATTTATGTCAAAATTTAAATTATTTAGCTTCTCAAGCAATGACATAGCACTAGTCAATAAAAAGAATGCTTCTAAATTTGTACCAGGGATCCTATTTTTTGACAGACAGTAGTTTAAAATGTTAGTGTGTTTGAGGTATTATTTTTTTTTTTGGTACTAGTGATTGAACTCGGGTCCTTGAGTTGCGCTGCAGGCGGCAAAACCACTGAGCTAAATCACCAGCCTGAAATCTATCAATATTTTCCTAGACATTAATTTAAAAAGTTTATAGCAAAAATGGCCTTTGAGTCCCTGATAAGAAAATGAAAATCATGTCTTTTAATAAATAGCAAGTAAAGGCCCAGGTCTACCTATTTCTCTCCTGTATAATGGTCTGCATGCCATGACTACAATAGTTTCAGGATTAACTTCTTCCAAAATGTTCTCAAGACTGCTTTCTTAACCAAGAATGGTTTATGGAGCCTGACAGCTTCTACTTGTTTATTCTACTCAGCAGAGAATGAGTTAGATAAGAGGCCTCCCCATGGTTTATTAAGATTAAAAAATGAAAACACATTTAAATGTTTCTATTCATTAGACATTATCTAATAAAAATCTATTTGAGAGCTTTCTAAGTCTGTATAAAAACCAGGCAATTTTGTCTTATACATTAACGTGGGTCTAAATAAGCACTGTCCCGCCATGCTGTACTTCTTCCTAATTTCCTGAAAAAGCTGAGTCCACATTTACATAGATATTAACTCACTCAACTCTAAAATGATGATACAAAATAAATATTTCTCCCTACAGTTCTTAGGAGTTTCCAGATTTTCTGACCTATTCCATTTCCAATGACCACAATTAATAAAGTTCCCTTTATGGTCTTCCAAGTAGATTCACTTATGGGTATCCTTGTTTCCCAAAATAGTTTGCTTTGGGTAGCATAAAAATGTGATTATGAATAATTCATTGTGGGGAATATAAAGATTCAAGTTCAAACGCCCCCAAAAAACTATTCAAAAGTTTAAATAATATTCTCTTATAGTGTATGCAAAGGGAAGTTTGAGATATTGACAAATTTAAAATTTTTTTCTCAAAAAAAGTTTGCTTTAAGATAATTACTTCTGGGTCCAGTGATTTAGCTCAGTGGTTCCACTGCCTGCCTTGAAAGTGCAAGGTGCCGAGTTCGATGCCTGGTACCAAAAAAAAAAAATTAAATAGATAAATAAAAGCTCGAAGTTATTTACAATTAAGTTAAAATACTAAAGACATTTGTTAAATATAAATTCATATATTCTTTGTTTAAAATTTATAAATGATAGGGGCCGGGGATTTAGCTCAGTGGTTCCATCACCTGCCTCGCAAGCACAAGGATGCAAGTTTGATCCCCTGTACCAAAAAAAAATTTGTAGATGATGCTGGGGATTTAGCTCAATGGTTCCACTGCCTGTCTCGAAAGTGCAAGGACCCAAATTCGATCCCAGTATTTAAAAAACGATAAAGTATTTATAAATGTTAACATTTAAATATTACATATATTTCATAAGTTGTTGATATATGTCTGATATGTATCACTAACATAAGCTCAAATATCTAAAAGTAGAGTTTTATCAAAATCCAGCTCAACTAGTGAAAATGAGTTTAAGAAAATGTCTCAAAGTGATTAAGGATTATACCTTTTCATCATTTTAAGTTATTTGTGTAAGCACAATTTATTTCATATTCTAATTAACAGTCAGTTTTTAAAGTCTTAAAAAGTCTTTTGATATAAAGATTTGGGGTGGGGGGTACCAGGGATCGAACTCAGGATGTTTTGCTTGAGAGGAAGGTGGTGGATCCACTGAGCTAAATCACCAGCCCCTCTTTTGATATAAAGATCTAATAGCTCTAAGTTACCTGGTCTGTTTTTTTTAATTTATATATATATCTATTGGTACATATTAGGTATAAAATGCATTTACATTTATCATTGGGTGTTTGTACCAGAACATGATGTATCTTAGTTTTTATTTTTTCTCCCATTACCTGTGCACCCTTTACCAACTGGTCTGTTAATGAGTTTGTTTATGCTACCTAATGCTAATAGTTTTAAGAGACAGTAAAAGGCTGGCTTGCTTCTCTATAATAAGTAAAGTGCTATTATTTGTCTATCTAGTCTTTGTTTAAATTTAGTACTTAAAATGAGTTTTTATTTTGAAATCTCTTTGTTTTTACTCAAACTCCTTATAAGTTCAAAAGCAATGATTTTGGGTGTTTCCAACCTCAAATATGTTATATATCTGTGTTCTTTTTTAGATCTAGTGCTTACATCAATATATGACAGTTTGAGACACAAATATGATCTAATAACAATTTTCAAATACTAATGATCCAGTGGCATAATTTTATAATATAAAAGTTCTGTTTCTGTTATAAATTGATCATATTTGTTAACAGTACAATCTTTGAATAAAATGTTTCCAGAGACAGTTTGTTGTTAAAATATTTCTAAAAATTGTAATACACAAAAACAATGTCAAAATCTGTTTAAAAGTATAAAGCTTAAGATAGAGATCTGTTCTTAATAAAAGTTAAAGCAAAACCATTTTTAAAGGCTACAGATTTGTCAAAATAATTTCTTGTGTTCTCTACTGTTTTGTTAAAATTAAATACTTAAATAAATAAGTTTTTAA